TAACACCAGCACCACATCAGCAGCTCTTATTATGAGACAAACTAAAATACATACATTCGTGCCGGTCTTCAGCCACAGTGTCGTATGACAGAACCTGTCATATGGCATTTTAGTTTGGTACTGTAATTTGATAGCTTGTTTTGCTAGCGTCGGAAGCAAAGGCACCCGATTATCAAAGAAAATGCGTCGACTACGGTGACCGCTTACATCACTGGGTTTACGTAACTATAGGATCCTCAAACTCTTTTCTATCAGTAGCTTCAAAAAAATCTATGTTCTATGTTTGCTTGATGGCATGCTTCTTAAGATGATTTTAAAAAATGTATTGTTTTCAAGAAATTCCTTAGATGTATCCCACGATTTCTTCACCCCACTTCATCTCACTTCAGCTCACATCACCTCACCCCACCTCAAATAACCTCAACTCATCTAACCTACCCTCGCCTCACATCACCTCACCTTACCTCACCTCATCTCATCTCACCACTCCTCACCTCAATTACCTTACTTTACCTCATCTTCCATCACCTTACTTCATGACTCCTTATCTCAATGTTCCTCACCTCACCTTACTTCATTTCACATCTCCTCATCTCACCTCAATTCAACTCATTTCACCTCACTTCGCTTCACGTCATCTCATCTCACTTTCATCTCATCTCATTTCACTTGACCTCATCTGACCACACCTTATTTCACCTCACTTTCATTTCTTGTCATCTCATCTCAACTCAATTCATTTTACATCACCTTACCTAACCTCATCTCACCTCACCTCTCTTTACAAATACTCCTCTCAATCTATCTCACCGCACCTCACATCACCTCACCTCAACTAACCTCAACTTGCCCCGTAACGTGGGTAGATCACCTTTTCGTCGTACGCTACGGGAAGTAAGATCTACCACCGATTTCTAGTCCTGACTACTGCAAACTAGAGGAACAGGATTTTTCAGTTATCAAAGAATCACATCTTAGTCCTTGTTACTTTTTAATGCCTTGTTGATAGTGACAAGACTTGGCTTTGTCCACTGAGGATGATCTTGAAACAAGAAAAAAATGGGTTAGTTAGTCTTCACCTATGTGATTCCTAATCTTCTATTCGTGTTTCCCTAGTTTGAAGAGGTTAAGACTAGGGTTCTGATGCATGGTCATTATCGGTGTCATTCCTTAATTCTGTTGCTAAGGAATCCAATTTTGACTGACAAAGGGGCGCACCTTTGGAGGGTGTTCCAACACTCCGAAGGGTATAAATAGCGGGACCTTTCAACTAGAGTCAGATCCTTGCAAGGGCGTAGCCAGGTTTCGAGCTTGGGAGGGACGAAACAAAATTTGCTATGGAAAATTTGGCCGAATGTCAATTCACCGAACACCATTTCTCCGAAAGCCTTTGTGTTGCTGAGTTTATGGGGAGCAGTTGCCCCTCTCCCTGCCCCCTCTGGCTACGCCTATGGATCCGTGCGATAAATTTAAGAATGACACCTGAAAAAAATCCAATACTTCATCATTTCTCAAGAGCGATGGAGTAATACGACATGCACTAAACTAAGGACATGGGATGCACTACAATAGATCAAATTACTGGTCGCAGTGGTGTTAGGCTCCGAACAGAGGAAAAAAAACTCAACTCATCTCACCTCACCTCGCCTCTCATTACCTCATTTTACCTCACGTTACCTCACCTCATCTCACATCACCTCATCTCATCTCATCTCACCTCAATTAACCTTAACTCATCTCAGCTCACCTTACTTCACTTCACATCTCCTAATCTTACCTCAGTTAAACTCACCTCATCTCAGCCCACCATACTTCACTTCACATCTCCTTATCTTACCTCATCTTACTCTCATTTCTTCTCACCTTTAACTCATTTCACCTCACCTCACCTTACCTTACTTCATCTTACCTCACCTCACTTCTGACTCCTCACCTCAATGTACCTCACCTCATCTCACCTCACCTTACTTCATTTCACATCTCCCCATCTCACCTCAATTCAACTCATTTCACCTCACTTCACCTCACGTCATCTCATTTCACTTGATGTCATCTGACCACACCTTATTTCACTTCACTTTCATTTCTTCTCATCTCATCTAAACTGAACTTATTTCACCTCAATTCACCTTACCTAACATCATCTCACCTCACCTCACTTCACAAATCCTCCCCTTAATCTATCTCACCTCACCTCACTACACCTCGATTCGCTTCACTTCACCTCATCTTACATTCATCTCACCTCCCCTCACCTCATCGCACCTGATCACTCCACAGTGGTCTAAATCTGAAAAAAAAACATGATCGTTTTGATATTTGAGTGGGAAAACTAGCATTTAAGTAGGGGAAATGACGTCTTCGGCATGCCAGACTATTTTCGGCAACACAAATTGAAACACTATTTTCACTGGATTTTCTTACGAAAACACTTCGCTGAATGCATGCAAACGATTCTTTATGCGTTCAGCTTCAATTTGACTATATTTTTGCCACTGAGAAAAAGTAATCTAGCAAGGTTTTCTTGAAATGAAACACACGCACTTCAAATTGTAGCTGATTTCGAGTTGCCGATAATAGAACAGCTGATTTACATGCAGTTCAAATGGAACGGTTGCCGAAGAAAAACTGGTTGCCGACAATACTCGCTCTCACTAGAGAAGATTGGACCTTTGTAAAAGCGTTTCAAAACAGTTTTTGACAATTCTTTCGACTGAAATTGTTAGAGCAGCTGGCAGCAAAAGATTGTTAAAAAACCAATACTCCATATGTGTGCGTTCCTTAGAGAAAAAGGCTATAGAAAGAAGGTCGCTGCTTAGGTTGCCGAGAATACGTAAATTCCCCTATGTAGTGTCTTCGGAGAAGTTCTTGAAAATTAAAGATCTTAATTTTTAAGCTTTTTTTCTGATTAATCCCCCAATAAGTGAGATGAAATATAATGTTATTCCAAATGTCACTAAGTGCATTAGTGTCTTCAGAAAAGTTGTAGAAACTGTTAAAGGGTGTCCCACATCAAATTGCATCATGGAAAAAAAAACACTGTAGAAAATTACCCATTAGGTCTTTCTTCTTGAAAATTTGGGTTGAAGTAGTTTAGAGTGTACTGCTTACACTGTATTTTTATCGCTGTCAGTTTTTCGAAAGTCGAGAAAAATGGCATCACCCGCAAAGCAACGTCACGAATTGATTTTGCGCAAGCACCTGGAAAATCCTCAACTCTCTCATCGGGACATCGAAAAACTACTCGGAATCGTGCAGTCAACGGTGATTCATGAGATTACTAAGAAAACTCTAGGCATCGAACGGAAGGAGAAATGCGGTCAGAATGGATGTTCTATTAGTGATCAGGATCATAAGTGTGTTGTGAAAGCGTTTAAGCGGAATGCTCCGGTCAGGGATGTGGCCAAAAAGTTGAATCTGTCCAAGTATTTCGTTCAGAGAGCCAAGGATCGGGAGGGACTGCATACGCAAAAATTGCAGAAGGTTCCAAATCGTGACGAACGGCTAAATACGGTGGGAAAGTCACGGGGCCGGAAACTGTACACCCAGATGCTGACGAAGCCTCATTGTCTCATCATGACGGACTTCCGGCAGCTTCCGGTGTTGCTGTTCTTCACCGGCCAACACAAGTTTGATGTTCCAGAGGAAGTAAAGAAGCAGAAACTTTCAAAGTTTGCCAAGAAATACATGACTTGACTAGCAATCTGCTTATGTGGCAAACGGAGTGCACCGTTCATGACTACCAGGCCTGCAAACGGGGAGATTTACCTCAAGGAGTATCTACAGAAGCGTCTGATTCCTCTGTTGAAGCAACACGAGGACCCTACGATCTTCTAGCCGGATCTAGCTTCGTGCCACTATTCAAATGTTGTCCTGGAGTGGTACGAAGCCAACGGGGTCACTTTCGTACCCAAGGACATGAACCCCCCCCCCCCCGCATCAGAACTAAGGCCCATCGAAAAATACTGGGCTATTATGAAGCATCCAAAGGAGGTTAAATCTCAGGAAGACATGAAGAAAAAGTAGAGTAGGTTGAAATCTGTCAAATCCTAATCCGCACTACAGCAATCTTGCTGGAGTATTTTTCATCATTCAGCTAATCAATGTCCCCTCCCCCTCCTGCTTCGATAGTTTCGCAAGTCTCACGAAGCGGCTGTCAGTTACCGTTAAGTTTCAACAGTATCATCATCGTCATCATAAGAACCCCCTGAAGGTAATTGTCTTCGTGTCCAAAGTGGGTAAAGTTTTCCTAACTATAGAATCGTCGCATGACCCGAACCGCCCACGCCCACCCTCGAACGACGGACAGCCTGTGTCTGTGGTTTTCGCATACAGGAGGCACTTGGTTACAATCGGTTTTCCCAGGGATTAGAACCAGAAAGCGATTAAACTGGGTGCACACGGACATCGGTACACAGAGTGGGAGGGAGCGGAAGGGTTTAGAATGATAATCACTTCGCTCTGGTAGAAAGCAGCAGTGGCAGTAGTTTGAAATTTTATCAACTTTATGATACCGACCGACATGCGACGATCGGCCGAGGCTTTTCCCGGGTAGAAGGTGCTCCCGACACGACGACGCAGCCGGGTTTTTCAAAGAAGGTGGAAACAATACGTGATTTTGGTCCATCTGGGAGAGAGTTCGGATATGTCCCCCTCGGGGCAGGTAGAGAATATTGGTGCTTATAATGGAAACGAGTTTAATCTCATTTTAACCTCCCGCTTGTGAGGGGGTCTGGTGGGGGAGCATGACAGTATGGTAAACTTTGCATAGATAATGGAGCAGCTTGCCATGTTTGTGTTGTTTGCGGGCTTTTGCTCGACTAATCCGGCTTAGGATGATCGGGAAGAAGGTTGATTGGGTATTCTCATATCGTCTGTTGGTTCAGTCGCTTCGATAATATTCGGGGTTAATGAGGAAAATTTTCCACTTGCCTCAAGGTGTCACCGATGGGTGGAAGGCGATTTGAAGATTTGAATTTCAGATCAGCAGACAAACTTACCTTTTCGTAAATGAAGATGCGGTTGCTGTCGATCTCAATGGTCGATTCTGAAACGAGAAACAGAAAACGAATAATGGATTATTATTATTTGATTTACTTCATTGCTTAGCAAACAACCCCTGCCTGATTTATCGTCGCTAGGAAAGAGGAAACCTGACAATTCTGCTGTGCAATTCCATCGTCTATCAAGTGACACATTTTCGTCACCCCCAAAGTGTCACGGCGCAAATTCTCCGAGCGGTAGGATCTATGCATTTTGCAGTCTCTGTCTTCCGGAATTGTCTGGTTGCCACTTTCCACAATTGTCACTCAATCCCGCCCACACCGTGTCTACGCTGACTGTCCTGGTCCTGGCCCAGGACTGCTTACATATTACCTACATAAGAAGCATGACATGTCACTCTCCACTAGTGTGCTTTACTTGTCTTCCGAATGACAAAGACGACGACGACAGGTTACTTTTTCTGTCCAACATTGTGAGAAAAGGACAATTCTTCATCGTTGTTGGCATGATAGACCATCCAAAAAAAAAAGAAGAAGATATAAATGTGTAATTTCACGCTCCATTTGACATTTTCCGATGGATTTGCTACAAGTTGGAGCGGTTGTTGAGTAATCAATCTTCGTTTTAGGAACTTATCAAAATTTCATCATAGATTCCAAAGTGTTCTGGGAACGGGACGGTATTGGGAAAGTAATTTCGATCTATTCAGTCCCCTTACTATAAATTAGTAGTCAGTAATACTTAAGCTCATGTGCGATTTTTTTCCTTGCCTCGAACGTTATTAGAATGCATTCCCCGTCTTTCAAAGTATGTTGTTTAACAGTTTTCCACTTCTTGTCGCAATGTTGCCCATACTAGCTCATGACTTAAGAAAGCTTATGTCTGTTTTTTTTTCATTTATTGCACCATCCACACAAATGGCTACCAATTCCCAATAACTCCCCTCATCTCATGACTCAATCGACCATAAATTATGCAACCGAAAAGACCCACAATTCAAAAATGCTCAAGCTTGTCGCTCGCCAGACGGCAACGTTCGATAATTTATTTTATCTCCACGAGACGTCCACAGAATGGCCAATGTTACCCAGCTCACGTATCATCGGCAATAAAACAATTACTCCATAAATCCTCTCGGGGGACACCTCTCGCATCATCTAATCTCGTTGCACGGCAGTCAGTCAGTCAGCCAAGTCAGCCAGTCAGTCGGTCGGTGTAATGACATCACGTTCGCTGTCGCTATCGCACTTGGGTTGAAGATGATCCAAAATCCTTGCAGAAAAAGAAACAACCGAGAGTCCCTTCACTTTGGATTCTGTCGTGTTTTGTGTGAGATTTTCCACACCAGCGACGGGTGCCAATTTGTCAGTTGCAGGTTACCTGGCCCTCGAGGGCGCCCACACACATGGCATCGGTAAAAGGAAACCATGTCGGTGTTGACGTGCATCCCCCGTTCTCCGTGGAGCAAATATCAATGAATGGACCCGCGCTAAGGTGATGATTTTCAATAATTATGATTCACGCTCAAATCCAACAAATCACCGCCACCGAGGAGGGCGCTTGAAGATTTAACAATTTACTTATAGGTACGTTTGAAGATGTGTAGTGGAATATACCGGTTGATGTTCGCTGCAAATTAAGCCCTTAGATAGGCGCGCTTGATGATAAATTTAAGCGAGGAGCTCTTTGATGAACTACTTGGATGTGATATGATAGTCATTAGAAACGGAGGGGTTACCAATGACAACCTGTCGTATTGAAGTTTTAAGTGCTTGAGTGACGGTGTGACACGGTTCGGATAATGTATTGTGCTAATGAGATGCCGTTTCGGTGTTTGTTAATTTTATGTTCTCTATCGAAAGCTTTGCGCTAATAGCCCCATTAATTATGAGATCTCGGCAAATTAGAAATGTGATTCTCGAGAAGGGTTCTTGTAACAACTAAGGCATTATGTTTTGCGGTGCTAGCTACACGGTTCTACCAGTTTGATGCGGTTGTTCATCAAACTGATTTGAAATGTCGTGGTGATCAATTCTTCTGCTTATTATTGTGACATTTTGAAGTTTTTTTTTCTAATTTATTGATGTTGTGATTTGTATAAAATGTGGTTACAAATTTTAAACAATCTACATTTATGGTAAGATAGAGTTCAAACGCATTTACATCTACTATAGTGTTAACGTTATTAACAAAAGTGATGAAGTTTATGAGCAATTTTAATAATAACATCATATGGTTTTTCTAAATGTTATCCAGTGACGGTCGTAAGAGTTCATTAAAAGATAATCTTCGCCATCCACCAAGTATTGTTGTCATCTTTCGCTGAAGAAACGTCCATGCAGTCACCCTAACAAATTCGCTGTATTTGTGTTGTATGTAGTGTCTCTATCGATGCGTTTTTTTGTATGAGAATTTCGTTCGAAACGAAATCCGGAGTGATTTGAGATTTGGGCGTAATTGTATTTGTAAACAAACATGTCCATCGCCGATTTATCGCGAATAAAAGCTCAATTTTAACGGCGCCGGTGGTGTAGTGGTAAGCGTGATTGCCTCTCACCCCAGCAGGCCTGGGTTCAATCCCAGTCGGCGCCGCCGGGATGTTCTGAGGCATAACATCTCTGATCACGCCTTCCTTCGGATGGGAAGTAAAGCCGTTGGTCCCCGGCTCATGAATTGATGGGTCGATAAGTAGGGTCCAGGTGTGGGAGCTGCCTTCCTGGCGTCGGTAGCATTGGTGCTCAGCACGGAAAACAAGATCGACGGAAAACAAATCAAAGAAAAAAAAAAAAAAAAAGCTCAATTTTGAAAACTAATAACACTGCGAGGTAGAGGTATGATTCCTCTATCATTTGGTATAGTTTGTTTATAATATTGAGCTTTTATTCACGAGAAATCGACGATTGACGTGTTTGTTTACAAATACAATTACGCCCAAATCTCAAATCACTCCGGAAATACAGAATAGGGGTGACAGTGTGTGCAGTTTTCACCATCTACGCGACGCATCGTGTGAAGAAGTTTACGGTAGTTGCCTTCTCAATTCACCAAAAGATACAAATTGCTTTTTTCAGTCACCGAAAAATTTCGCCAGTGAAGACTTGACCAGATCCTGCGTCAGTTTGACTCTGGATTTTCACGTTCAACTTTGGGTGCTTCTGTTCGTTCAATGCATAATTGGTGAATAGTTCCTACGATGGGGTTCTACAGGATTTGAGGAGGTAGTTGCCGGTGTTGTTGACACAACAGTTTAATATTTAAGGATTTGGATCTCTCGTCTATTCTTCCTCCATACAGAGTGAATGTATCGAGGAAGAATAGACGAGAGATACCATTCCTTGACGTCATGAACGTGTTCAGTGAAATGGCTTTTTGATGTAGAGCAGTGTTGGAAAAATCATTTTCAAAAAAAGTTCTATCACAGCTCATTGCAGAGATAAATCCCAAAGGAACTTCTCACAAAAAGTTCACGAACGAGAGATGATAAAAAGTTCATGAAAGTGTAGAGCGAGAGAAATTTTCATTTCGTATCGCGAAAGATCTTTCGTCTTTCCATCTCACATCATTTCACACGTACTCGTGATTCGAACCAACCAAATATCCCCTCAGTTTTGTTCTTTTTTTCCAGCGAGTATAGGTAGGCGATGATCACGCGAGAGTGTCTGTTTGTTTTCTTCTCGTTCTCCGATATTTTTCGCATCCTTCACATTAAATACCATTTCCAGAGAACTTTGAGATTTGGGCGTAATTGCTTTTGTAAACAAACACGTCATTCAACGATTTCTCACGAATCAAAGTCCAATCTAGCGAACTATACTATACCAAATGAATCATTCCTCTACCTGTCTGTGTTGTTTGTTTTTTAGATTGAACTTTAATTCACGAGAAATCGGCGAATTAAGTGTGTGTTTACAAAAGAAATTACGCCCTAATCTCAAAGATTTCCGGATTTATTTATAGTTTTAGTTCTCAATGCAACCAGCTAATAGTAGATACATGTAACTATTCATCAAGAGTCTAATCTTTGCTGACCAAACCATCATTTGTGGCTGTACTCTTCGACAAGAAGAACTATGCTATTAGTGCGAAGTACAGTTATATCACTGAGATTGGCGCTTAGACATGCTTAGTGTAAGCTAGCAAGCATTCTGTTGATTAGTCTTACTGCATTGAGAACATGCTTATTAGGGTGATTCAAAATATCGGCTTTGTTTCACTAAGCTCAATCGATTTTTAATCAGGTCCAAATAATTCTCCCAAAATTTGAGCTTATTGGGTTGTGATTAGGTACATTAGGCACTCCTTCTTCCGCACCCCTCCCCCCCATCCTGAGGAACGGTTTTAATATAAAGATTGCTAGTCACAAAATCTTACACTACCCTCCCCGTTCCTCGTTAATGCCGCGTTGACACTAGTGCTGATTCATTCATTTTTTTTTGCCAGAAACCAATGCACCAATCAAACAGCTGCACAAAACTGTTCACATCATCCTGATAACGGTTAATTTAAACAACAGGCACCAGTAGACAGCCAGCTACCAGACTTATCAGGCTTTAGAGATTGTATTGATTTACTCGGGATAGCTTTCTGTCTATAATCATTCCCTTGTGAAATGTGCATTGCAATTTTCAAGAACGAATGTGGTGTAAAGAGATAGAGAGAAAAAATGATCTGATATTTTTCGTATCCTCGCGTTGGTGATTCGAGTTAAAAAAGTTCGCGATATCTCATTCTCTCATCCCAGAAAGTTCGCTCAGGAAATATTGGAGTGTGAAACTAGTGAGGGAAAGTTCCCAAGAGAAAACGTATCGCATGCGAAAATGATATTTTGGTGAGAATTCCATCACTGATGCAGAGTAAAGTAAGGCAACGCGCTAAATGACCTCTAGTCTGATGGGTAAAACTCCCCACAGCTGCATCCCAGTTAAGCTTAACCATTAGTCGTCAAAATTGACAAAAGTAATGCCAAGTACCTTTACTGTGTTGCACGACTGTAGCCCCGGAATTGGTATAGGGTCCAGTGTCTGTTTTTATCATTTACCATCA